AGAGATGAATGGATGGATGGAGTGATGGAGAGGGATGGATGAATAGATGCATGGATGGATGGATGCAGGGATGGAGAGATGGATGGACAGATGGATGGGTGGGTGGGTGGATGGATGGGTGGGTGGATAAATACATGGATGGATGGAAGGATGGATGGATGGAAGGATGGATGGATGGATGGATGGATGGATGGATACACAGATGGATGTTTAGATAGATGGATGACATGATCATACCATTCTTTCCCTGGGCTTGAGGAGATCACCAGTGACTGGACAATCAAGGAAGAAGTGATGGAGGATGCCTGCTGGATCTCTGAGCAAGCCAAGATGTCCCAAAGGAAGTTCTAGAAAGACCTTGGATTGTTTGGACCTTCTCAAGCTATGGAACCTCCTTAAGAAAATGGGAGTCCTAGACCATCTCGTTGTCCTGGTGTGAAATCCATGCTCAGGGCTGGAAGCAGAGGCTGGACCAAATGCAATGGAGTAGACCGGAGGTGCCTACAAGATGGAAAGAGGTTCTACTGCTCCGTGGTGGCACCCTCTCAACCTTTTGACCACGTCCTGCAGATACTCCTGAAAATCATGGTGATTTCCCCCATGATCCGAGTCCGAAAATCTCAGGAACTCACCCTCCTATCTCGGGAGAGACCCTCTGAAGTCCGAGGTGCAGCTGGGGACACACACACAAACCCCTCAGACCCACCGAAGTGCCCCGAGGGATAACCAGGAGAGGACGATGGAAGTGGAAAGGATGCTAATGTTGGCAGTGAGTGCCATCAGTGCAATGAAGACATCCCCCCTTCCAGGTCCATCTTCCTTACACACATGCACACACACAATGCACACAATCACATCCTTTGATTTCTTCAACCAGGAACTCTCCGTTCCCCCAGTCTGACATCTTTTAAGGGAAGCCCCCCCTCCTCTCCCCTGGGACCCCAGGTTGGAGCACGGTTAAAGGAAGGAGAAGCAGACCTTAAAGAGAGGGGGGTCACTGTTCCCCCCTTTTTTTTGAAAAGGACGGAGAGATCGAGCGGCGAAGCAGAGAAGGAGAGCAGCAGATCCACCCTCCGCCGGGGATTCCTGATCCCTGCAACCAGGTGAGACCCCTCCCCAGAAGCTCTGAGAGTTAGGGGCAGTGGAGTGGAGTGGGGCGAGGGAAGGGCTTCTTCTGGGCCTCCGGTGGGAAGCAAGCCAAGGAGCTGCCCCTTTGACCCGAGGACGAGCGGTCCTTCCTTTCTGGGGGAAGCAAATGGGTGGGTGGGGGGAGCTGAGACCCTCCTCTGAGGAAAAGCAAGCAGAGAAGGGAGGAGGGAGGTGGAGTGGAAGAGACGAACAATCAACTGCTTGTTTTCAGAAGTTGTGGGGGCTTCAATTTTATTTATGATTTTTTTCTTTAACATCCAAACGTGCTTGGGGAACCGTGTATTGTCTGGGTTAATATACTTTGCATACAATTCTGATAATGATATTACCATTTAAATATACATAATCATAATCTTTCAATTTTGAATATTTGTGTATACATAGTAATTATAATAGGCTATTATATTTCAGGATACATAATGCTATTTTCCCAATTTCTACTTTCGACTTCTTTTCTTCTAATATTTCTTGCGTTGGTGGCTTCTCAGCCTGATATACCTCAAATGATTGACAGATGGGAAGCCCGGGAGTGTCTGTGCTTCCAAAGGGACAGGGTCCAGGATGGGAGAGAATTAGGCTGTGGGGCCGGTTGATACTGGGGTGGGGTGGGGGGCAGGATTTTCACGTGGCTTTGAAGAAAGTCCTGTCATCCAAGGGGAGAAAGTGGGTTCTCAGGAGAAGGAATTGGCTCAGGGAGACTCAGCCATGAGTCTCAGGTACTTTGGAAGTCACCTGGCGAGGGCTGGATTAGAACACAGAACAGAAGGAAGGAAATGGAGGGCCTTTGGGAGAGTTGCCACTGCGGAGCAGAGGATCAATCAGTCTCTATGAAAACAACTTGAATTTTTCCTTGAACTTCTCCGCCATCAGCATGTCTTCCGTGTAATAAGGAGCATCCCCATTCTTCTGCACCAGTTGATCAATCATGGTCATCAGCTGGGCCACCTGAGCCTCTCGTTCTTCTCCTGTGGCCTTGTTGCCGAAAGCCAAGAACCGGTTCCCACAATGGTATGCCTCTTCCCTAAAACAGACACCTTCCCCAGATATGTATTCCTCCAGAGACCTTCCGTCCAGGTCCTCTTTCCGGGTGAACAAGAGGATCATGTAATTCAGGGCCCTAAAGCTGAACATCTCTCTGATCAGCTGAGCCACTTCCTTCTCGTCATGGGAGAAAAGGCCAGGACGCACGATGCGCAGAATGACATGTGGACCCGGGGAGCAAAACTTCATACACTTGCTCACTTCGGGAAGAGTTTCTCTCATGGGATAGCCAGTGTCAAAGATGCCAGGTGTATTGACCACCACAACCTTCCTGCCATTCAGCTGTGCCTCTTCTCTTTGGCAAGTTTTGGTCAGTAGTCTAAGTGACATCCCAGACACAAAGGCTTTTCTTCCCAGAATTGTGTTTCCTGTTGCACTTTTCCCGTTTCCGCCTTTGCCCACAAGGACGATCCTCCGCTCAGGTCCTACCAAACGGGGAAACAAGAAGGAGACGTGGTCAGCAGCTCCATCATTTTTCCCACCCCACCCCCACCCTGCCAGCCCCCAGGGCTCATGGCTTTACCTCCGAAGTTTGCAGTCCTACCCAGAGGAGTCGCCCAGGACAGATCTGGCGGTTTCTGCATGAAAAGAGAAACAGAATCAGCCAAAGGAGAAGCTGCCTTGCTCAGAAGTGGCCAGGAAGTGTCCTCTCCCAGAACGAACAGGCAGGACCTGAAGGGGCCTTAAAAGAGGGTCACCCCCTCCTCACTGCCCTTGAGGCAGTCATCGGATCCCTTCCCCCCTTTTTATGCAACCCTTCAAACTTTTGGATTCTGCACTTTGGGGCTTTCGGGAACAGTGGGCATTGATGCCCCAAATGGCTGGCAGTTCCCCGCAGCCAATGCGATGCTGAAGGGATCCTGTTCTCTGGGCCTTCAGCTGCAATTCCAGAATGACACCAAGTGCTCCCCAGACCCTCGTCCTCCGGGTTCCTCTCCCACCTCTCTCTTTGCTGGTAGGAATCCTTCCCGGGGGTTGAGGGGAAGCTCTGTGGTGGAGGCTCTTTGTTCCAACCCCTTCCATCCTGGGCAAGCAACGTTTGCTGGAAATGCTGATTGCACCCATGCATGCCTGCCCCCACCTGATGCTGCCTCCTAGGATACTTCCCTGCCCTTTGGCACTCCTGTCAGGTCTGCCATCTCCAACATATGCAGCTTTGCTGGCATTTTGCCATGAAATGTAGGGAGAAGTCAGGGTGATAGGAGGGGGGAATGACAGGGTGTCAGGAACCAGAGGTGTTAGTCTGGAACAGTCCAGCTGATCAAGGACAGTGCTGGGAAGATGGAATGCAATGGGAGATGTAAAAAATGCAGGCCTTGCTTGTGCTGTCACCAGTGATGGGATTCAACCAGTTCGCACCACTTCGGGAGAACCGGTGGTTAACTTTCTGAACAGTTTGGCAAACTGGTTGTTGGAAGAAATCATTAGGGCACAGAACCGGTTGTTAAATTACTTGAATCCCACCACTGGCTGTAACCACTTGACTTTAGTAAAACCAACACCTTCAATTCAACGATGGAATCGAGGGTCTTTCTTTCCTAAATGATCCAGTCGGGACAAGCCTGACAGTCTCTGTTCAAGACCTCAAGGGCCCATCCCTCCAGCAATCTTGTTGAATTCAAGCAACTCTGATGCTCCCTCATCCCAAGCATAGGTGACTTGGATCAGGCCTGGCCCCCCCTAGGAGTTTCCCCAAGTAGCCCTGCCAGGTCCCACTCAGCCTTGGGACACTCTGATGTGCTTGTCCCATAAGTTGGGCTCCAACTACAGCTGGTTGATGTATCTCCCCCAATTCTCGGAAACAGTTCTCTGCAAAGTCTCCATCAGCTCAGAGACCTGCCTCTCCTGCTCAGCTCCCACAGCCCAATGATTGAACCCACAGACGGATCAGGCCCCAAAGAGCCTCGTTGTTGGACTAAGAGGAGGAAGAGGAGCTGCTTTTGATTCTTGGGAGCCTAAAGATTTGGAGGATCGAGTAGAGACAGAGCGACATTCTCTCTTTGGTATTTTGGTGTGGTGAGTATTTTTTCTCTCGCTTTGACTTTTACATCTCCTATGTGGGACAAACAGGAAGGCAATTAAAAACAAGGGTTTGTGAATATCAACTAGAACTTAAACAGCACAACCAAAAATCCCTGATCTCGACCCACATTGACAATGAACAACAGCTGTTCGATTGGGAAGGAACAAAAATCATCGGCCATATCAGCACCCACCACACACATGAATTTATTGAAGTCTGGTATTCTATCAAAAGGGATGCAGTGGCTCAGTGGCTAAGACACTGAGCTTGTCGATCAAAAGGTTGGCAGTTCAGCGGTTCGAATCCCTAGTGCCGCGTAACGGGGTGATTTCCCATTACTTGTCACAGCTTCTGCCAACCTAGCAGTTCGAAAGCAGGTAAAAAATGCAAGTAGAAAAATAGGGACCACCTTTGGTGGAAAGGTAACAGCGTTCCGTGCGCCTTTGGCATTCAGTCATGCCGGTCACATGACCACGGAGACGTCTTCGGACAGCGCTGGCTCTTCGGCTTTGAAACGGAGATGAGCACCGCCCCCTAGAGTCGGGAACGACTAGCACATATGTGCGAGGGGAACCTTTACCTTCTTATTCTACCAAAGGAGCAATTCACAAGCATATGGATCTAGATCCAGGATATGAATACATAAGAAACCAGACTATTCGAACGACCAATCAACAAGCGAACCAATCAGCTGCTCAGAATTCAAATATAGCTCCAAACAAACAACCAATCACACGACCTACTGACCTACTGACCCACAAGACATTGATAAGCTAAGAAAAATAGGACAAGAAAATCCTGCTGATGACGTTACCTAGCCTGGTAATGAAATGTTCAGAAATGAAATTGAAACAAGCTTGGAGAGTAAACCTTGGCCAACATCTCATATGTCTCCAGCTCCCAGAATGGACTTCCAGGCACCCCTTCACACAAGCCAGAGCATGAGGGTCCCCAATTACACCTACACACCCCAACTGCAGCCATAAATTTTTGAATCCCACCATGAAGTCAAATGGGATCAAATTATTCTCCAGAGCACCATAGGCAGGGGCGAAATGCTACCGGTTTGCTCCAGTTCGAGCAAACCGGTAGTAAAAGAAAAAGCTACCGGGAGGACTTCCAGTGGCATCGCAGGCGCTGACAGATGCTCCTTTCGGACCGTCAGCCCCGCGATTTTGTTAAAACCGCCAAGACAGTGCAAATCAGCTGTCTGGTGGCTTGGAAACCTTCCCCTCGAGAGAAGAGAGGAAGGTGAGCAGCCGGACTAAGGTAGAGCTCCCCAAAAGCCCTAGGAGCAATTCTGGGGCTTGGAGGGTGAGAGCTCCCTGGTAGTCTAGCTGAGCTCCGAATCTGATGCTTTTCTGCTTCAAGCAGAACAAGACACCGTGACCACCCCTGCAATCAACATTCAGATTCAAAATAAGCTTAAAGCAGGCAGAACAAAAACAGGAGTCCTAGCAACTGCAAGTACTGAACTTTAACTCTGTGTCTATATTTCTTCCTTCTAAGACTTTTAAAATGAAAGCAAAAATGGCGCCTGAACTGTAACAGGGCATGAAAGTGAAAGTGATAGTGAAAGTGATAGTTAACATCGTTAGCGCTTCTGAGGCTGTTTAAGATTGCTGGGTTCTACAACAAAGAAAGAAAGATTTAAAGTGGAAAGGCTACACTTTGGATTTTAAATAAACTATAATACTTTTAAAAGATTTTAAAATATTTGGATTTATTGATTTGGTTGCTGTAGGAAGTATAAATTGAAAGCTAAAAATGGCTTCTAAGCAGATAAAATCTGGCTTTAAAAGTGCTGGAGGATCGCCAGCACAACCATCAAAACTACAATCTTTGTCTACTTCAAACCCACAAATATTGACTTTGGAAGTTCTACAGGAA